TTATGGTCAGAGCTTCAACTACTTTAAATTTATTGAAGTTTATTTTATGGATCATGATATGGTCTGTCTTGGTGACTGTCCCAATGGGCACTTCAAAAAAAATGCATATTCTGCTTTTGTTGGGTGGAGTATTCTATTAATATATGTTACTTAGACCCTGTTGGTTGTGTCATCTAGTACTTCTATAGCCTTGCTAATTTTCTGTCTAGCAATTCTATAAATTGCTGAGAGTAAGGTGTTAAAGTCCCCATCTATAATTATGAATTTGTTTATTTCTCCTTTCAGTGCAATCAGTTTTTGCTTTGTGTATTTTGAGGCTTTGTTTCATACACATTTGGAATTATTATGTCTTCTCATAGGTTGATAGTTTTTTTCATTATGTAATGTTCCTTTTTGTCTCTAGTAACTTTCTTTGTTCTGAACTTGACTTTAACTGTTAATAATGTAGCTACTTCTGCTTTTTATTGTTTTTGATTAGTGTTTGCCATATCTTTTTCCATTCTTTTACTTTCAACCTACCTATACTGTTGTATTTGAAGTGAGTATCTTGTAGACAGCATATTTCTGGATCACGGTTTTTTGACCATTCTGCCAATCTCTGCCTTTTAATTGGTGTATTTAGACCATTTACATTTAAGATAATTATTGACATGTTAGGACTTAAGTCTCCCATTTTATTTTTTGTTTTCTGTTTCCTCCGTTTCTTTTTCCTCTGCCTCTCTTTTCCTTTTTCTTTCTTTTCTTTTTTTTGAACACTTTTAGAATCCATCTTGATTTATTTAGAGTGATCCTGACTATATCACTTTATATAGTTTTCTTAGTGGTTGTTTTACAGTCTACTGGTATCAACATTTTGTGACTCTGAGTGCAGTTTGGAAACCTTACTTCCATTTAGACCTCTTTGCCCTCTCCTCTGCCCCTTTTAATATAACCATCTTAAGTATTTCCTCAATATATGAATGATTTTCTGTGGTCTTATTTGTTGTGGTATGTCTAAGATTTTTCAGTTGTAAGAGGGAAAACCTGGAAGTAACAGGGCTGTTCCATCTTGGCAGAACTGGGAGAACTAGCAACTTTTTAAAAAATACGAATAGCCTTTTTGGTTTGGTCCGGTGCTAAGGCAGCCCTGAGGACATGGGAATTTGGGTGAGTTATGGGGGTTGATATTTAGGGAGGAGAAGAGGCAATTCAGGAGCCTGGGAACCCGCCTGGTGAGAGCAGGTCTGGATTGGGTCTCCAGTGTGCTGCTTTGTGGGCTCATGGGCAGCTGGAAGGTAGGGACAGGGCAAGGTGCCACATGTGAAGGGAGGCCGGGCTCTGAGCGTGAGGCCTCTTCCTCCCGAGTATTTCCTCCATGTGTGTGCATG